ATAACATAATGGGATTCTCTCAGGTAGGAAACAGACTTTTTAAGAAGTTGCAAAATTTAAGTAGAAGTACTACAAGCTCTTATTTTACAATCAAACTGGAATATAGGTTGTTTTGATTTTTTTTAAATAACGTACAGCAACTTTGTAACAACTAAACTTTAAAAATGCATTAGATTGCATAGTGAAAGAGCTGCAGAACATTTTTCATCATACACACATCCGTGCTTTCAGTTACTAATAAAATGCTTCTGCCCTTATTTGCAGTTGCCTGAATATACAATCTAAGTGGCTCGGTACGCATATATTCTTAAGGAATGATGTTTTCACTGTTTGAAACACAACCCAAGAACGCTAGGCAAAACTGAATACTGTGTCTTTAAAACTGGCTTCTGCATGCCACAGAAAGCAATATGGAATCATCTTTCTTTAAAGTTCCTTGTGGTGTGGAATGATAACAAAACTTTTCTTTTTCAAACAAGGAAGAGTCAGCTGCCATGGATAACACCGCAGGTAGATATTAAAATGGAGACAGAGCCATTATTTAGTAGCGACAGGAATATAAATACATGCACTAACCTATAAACTGGTATTTACTTCAGGAAAGTAAGTAATATTTTCCCTCTGATTGCAGTGCTGTCAGTTTAATGCAGCGTAAATAAACAGTAGGTGCATGATAGCTTTAAGTAGAAAGTGTTCACTCCACAAGAGGAGCAGATTACTAAAGCCTGATGCCCATAATTGCAAAAACAGAACTTCCATTTAACCAGAAAAATATGTTCTCTCATACTAAATGATTAGTAGCGTTCCTATTAAATCAGGTTTCAGAGTAGCAGCCGTGTTAGTCTGTATCCGCAAAAAGAAAAGGAGTACTTGTGGCACCTTAGAGATTAACAAATTTATTTGAGCATAAGCTTTCGTGAGCTACAGCTCACTTTTTGTCAAAATTCTATGAAAAATGCCATGCAAACAACTTTACCAAAAACATTCATTTTAGGAGCCCTAAATTGGAATAATTAAAAAAGTAAAAAACGCTTTCCTGTAATTTTATCATCCCACTCTAAATGACAACTTCGTATCATCATCCTAGTATAACAAAAAAAAAATTAAAATGATGTATGGAACTGTCTATACTTTCAGTTTTTTTCTCCTTGTATTCCGTGACTGAAAAATCAAAGTTTCCTCTTTGGAAAAGCAATGATTTCTAAGGAGATTGTACATACACTCTACATCTATTAACATAAATTAAAAGGAACTAAAATGTTCCACTTATATTTATAACTGTTCTAAAAGGAAAGTTTGTGGGTTTACTAGATACTTAATAAATATATCTAGAGAAAGTAATGGCAGGTATGCATAAAAGGGTTATAAAACTCTGCAGTAGTATCTATGCTAAAATAGAATAGACCTTAGAAACATGACTGAAATATTTTTTTTAAAAAAAAATCACATTTCCCCCATTTTTAATAGAGAGATTTAAGTAGTCCGGAATATTGTGTTATCTTGAATAACAATTTCTCTGTAGTCCAGATGCAAAATGTTAATATATTTATCAATCTGTTAAGAAGATTACTAAATTTTATTAATTTGTCTCCCTTCCGCAATACAACTAGAAAGCATAACAAGGATTTCAAATTAATTTTATGGTATTCAGTTAAAAAAAATCTGGCAAACAGCTGTATTTCAACAAATGAATTCCTTGACTGTAATAAAATTTTCCTCTAATTTAAAACATCAAATTAGATTTTTAAAAAAAATAATGCAGAACTTTAATTGAAGACTGCAAAAATTGAAGTCATATGCATTTAATCCCTTCTCCAACCAAAAATATTAATGTAATATAAGTTGTAGTTATCCATGACTTGACTACATGAAAGAGAGACACTTCTGTGATTTGAAAGGGCACACCTGCCTACATCCCTTTGGGATTTTATATTAGAGAATTACTATTGAACTTTGAAGACAGTACACTGTATTTAGTTTAGTACTATCTGTAACCAAAGGATCTCTATAATAATAAGGGACAGGTGCTTATCAGCTGACCTTATGGGCCTACATTGCAAACCATAACCTGTTAAGATAAAAATGATTACTACAAGCTTTGGCTAAATTGGGAGATTCTCTCTTTCTTCCTATTCTGCAAATCAACATGTACCATTAATGAATCACAGGCTGACTTTACCTGCTTTATATTTCTTTCTCAGAAATAAGCAGTATCTAAGGACTTATCCTTAGATAAGTCTTGTTGAAAGAACAGGAGAAGAGAAGGAGGAACTCTTTTGGTAGTTACTTTGCTATTTAATGATTCAAGAGCAAAGAAACTAACTTTTAAAAAATGCATGAACAAAAAGCATTCCACTTAAATATTTTTGTCCCAGTAAACTCATTTTGCATACAAAGAACTATTATTTATTACACATTTGCACTTGTAGGGAAAAGGAGGAATGCACTGATTCGAGAAAAAAAAAAAAACAACTATACAGGCTTTTTGGAGACTTCCCTCTTGTTTTTCCCTTGTTTTTCTTAGATTACTGTTTTTTCCTGGGGAAAGAGGAATTCCTTGGAGTCAGTTGTTTCTTTTTCATTGCTGTTTGTACTGAAGAGTGGGTACAACTGTAGACAATGATTTTATTTTTGTTATAGAGCTTTATAATGTATGTGGGCTATCCATTTACATGTATATACACAAACATGTATGCATACATATGCGGTCTTTTTATGTTCACTTTTTACTATACATGATTACATATTTTTGTGTATCATATTATTTCCACTTGATAAGTGAGATATTAATAAAATCTGAAACAGGAAATGTGTATATATAAAGTGTATAAATAATATACACACTGCAAGTGTATATGATACAAATTATAGATACTGTGCTGTATTCAAGCCTTTACACAGTACACAGTTTCAACTTTCTTTTTTAAATAATGCACCAGAGTTAATGTCTTTATATCTGATGACTGCTTTAAACTTGGAGATAGGGAAATATCCAATCCTTGTATTAACTAACGTTGCAATTTTACACTATTTGTAACCTTTTCTAACAATGTGAGAAAAACAGAGTAAATATATTAAATTTGTTTCACAACAGATGCTTAGGTTGTTAATATTTAAGATGCTTATTCATGCTATTCCTGTCTGCACATTTGTCAAAAACGTAAGCTCGAATGCTAATGTTTGCCAGCAGACTGGAGCAGACAGATATATACCAAATGATATACCAATGTACTATACCAAAATGATATAAAGTAGAAATAAAGGACTGCTGCTAAATCATAAACCTCTGTTACTAGATCACATGCCTTAACCTTAAGAGTTCTTGAATCTGAAATTATGAATTATTTTCATAGGAAAATTACACTAGGTTTGTCTGAATAAAACTGATTGTTGGTGTTTGCCGATATTTTTTACCCATTTTGGGTAAAAAGATGGTGTAAAATATTTTAGCAAAGTTTTCAATGCTCTAAGGGTTTCTCCCTCAGTAACACAAGCACTTTAAATTTCTGGGACTGGCAGAGCAAAACTTGGAAACTTGTAGGTGTCTGTCAGTAGTTCTTCTCACTGGAACTAATAAAAGATTTCGACAAAATTATGATTTTCTGTTTGTCTTTTTTTTAAAAAATATCCAAGGCATATATTTGTACTTGAATTATTTTCCCTTGAACTAAATGCCCCTCGTACATATTGTAAAATGACGTTTGAAAGGCGGCTCGGGGGCTTTTAAACAGTGGCACTAGCTTGGTGGGACGCTTTGGTTAATGTACTTAAAACTATCAACTTATGAGGATTTTCCAATGTATGTTTGGATCGCTGCTTGGAATTAAATATTCTGTTTCCTTTTGGATCCTTCGCTGCTGCTTCAAGGGCCCAACCAGTTCTAAAGTGGAAAACGCCAGGGGAGGGACCTCCAGCGGAGAGGAGATAGCGTACCTGTGCTTACAGTGCCTCCTCACCCCTAAGGTCACAGGCACGCCAGCTGCCACGGTGCGTGCTGCGAGAAACGTTTCCCTCTCAGAGATCACTGCCAAAGTTGATCTCCTTCGCGTTTCTCTTCCTCCCCCCTTGCAGCCTCGCAAGACGATCCTCAGCAACTTTGCGTTTCAGGTTAAACACGTCGGCCAAGTACCCCCCCCCAGCCCAGCCCAAACACGTTTATCAAACGCATCTTTTACAGCGCTCCCAATCCAGGCAACCTGTCGCCAAGGCGGCTGGCCGGTGTTACACCGGCACCCTCCCGGGCTGAGCACGCTGGGGGTGGGGGGAGAAGTTTCCCAAACTTTCCGGGAACTTGCCTTTGTCAAGCGGCTGCTGCAGGGCCAGCGGCTCCGGCTCTGCCCCTCGGCAGGGGTTCAGCAGCAGCCGGAGCCCAGGCGGGACAACCCCCCAGGGTTTATGGCATGCAGCCCTGCCAAGGCGGCAGGTGTGTGGAGCGCCGGCGCTGCTCGGGGAAGGGGTTTCCCCCTCCTGGCCTCCCCCCACTTTTCCAACCCCACAATGTGATTATTAATACGAGAACCGGGGCGCGCTAGAGACTGGGGGGTGGGGGGGGGCGGAGAAGGAGGAAAAAGAGACCGACTCACTCACGAGAGCGCAGCGGGCGACACCTTCAGCTTCCCAGGCGGCGGCGAAGTTAATCGCGCTGAAGTTCAAGTTGTCTGTTCACCCATCGGGAGCGGGCGTCTAGAGGAAGGAGACGCGGAGTCGGCAGCGGGGGGGAGCAGGCTGCTCAGGAGGAGCCCGGGCTGGCAGCAGGGCAGCAAGGTACCAACGCGGGGGACCGGCGTGTGCCCGGCTCCCTCTCTGTGGCGGAGCCCTTGGGCGGGGAAGGACGCCGGGCGCAGGCTCCAGCGGGCGAGCCTCGGCCGGGGGTGGCTCTGCTGCACCCGTGCGCCGTGTCTCGCCGCCTCTCTCCCCCTGGCGGACGCTGCTTCGCGCCTGTGCCGGAGCCGAGCCGCCGCCGCCGCGGCTGCTGCCCTCCCCGGGTGCGCGGCGGCAGCAGCAGCAGCAGCAAGCGGCAGCAGAGCCGGGCTAGGGAGGGGGAGGCTGAGCGCCGGCGTAGAGCGGAGCCGGGAGCCGCCGCCGCCGCCGGAGCCGGGTGTGCGTCTGGCGCTCGCTCTTTCCCCCCTTCTGCTTGCCCTTGTTTTTGGGGCTGAGTTGGGGAGAGTGGTTTGTGTGCGCGCGTGTCTCTGCCCCCTCACCCCGGCTCGCGGTGGAGGAGGAAGTCAGGTGAGAGACACAAATCCCCTCCCAGCCCTTGTGCGATGGGTAGGAGCTAATCACTGTTGTTGTTGGGCTGCTGCTGCTGGTGGTGGTGGTTTTTAATGCTATTATCTTTCCTCCCCTCCCCTCCACTCCCGGAGAGCAGCGCCCCTCGCAGGAGCACCGGGCTGATAACCCCCCCCCCCCCCACCGCACGCAACTCTTGAACCTCCCCCGCTCTTTCCTCCCTCCCACCTCCACTTTCTCCCTCCCGCTCGTTTATTTCAATATTTATACCCCACATGCTTGGCTGTCAGCTGCTGCCCGCTTCAAGCGAGTGAAAGGATGAGCGAGCAGGCCAGTTTCCGAAAGGGATCTGACAAAGGTGATCAATATTTTAAGGGTCAGATCGTCAAGTGGGACCGGAGAAGAGGGAAAGGCACGGGGCTCCCTCTCTCTTTCCAGATGGGCCGTGTATGCGCGCCTGTGCCCCGGCCGCTGAGACCCTTGGGTGGGGAGAGAACAAGCTGGCGCAGATAAAGTTAATGGAAAGTGTGTGCATGGGGAAGTGGCTCTGAAATCTGTATTGAGTATGACAGCAGGCAGCCCGTATTTGCTTTAGATAAGGGGAGCAGGGATGTGCTGGATTTTTTTGTTTGTTTTTTTGCAAGCATTCCACTTCTCAGGCTCATGCCGTGAACTGCACGGTGTCAGTTTGCAACTAGCCACGCTGGAGTTACTCAGTGTGTGTTTTTTAGACGCTGCCCTTAATTCTGTGGTCCTTTCATACGATGTTTTATGTCGCACAAAGTGCCTTTAAATAATTATATTTCTGATTTTTCTTCATTAGTGTTAACTGCCGCTTGGAGAGACTTTTTAGATCTTCAGTCCTTCCTTAGCTGATGCACAGTTTGTAAGTAAAGTTCCTGGAAAGTGAATCTGGCAGTGAATTCAATTTTTCCTGAAAGCTGAGATTGTTTCTTTTCCTCTAGGAGCTTGTGAAGAGAGAACACTGGGGATTCTGAATGCCAATCCAGTCACAATCTGTATTTTCAGTCTGTGGCAGATTTGATCTCTCAGCTCCTGGAACAAATAAACAAAACTCCTCTAGACAACTTTATATGTTTTTGAAATAAGAGCTCTTGACATTGTTAAGCTGATACACCTTTCTTTAATAAGCCAGTGCTATACTATTGTATTTATTGGCATAAAGCTGCCACTTTGTAACACCATTTTTGAATAATCATTAATCCACAGGGAATCCATGAAGCCCAAAGGTTACATTATAGTAATAATATAATAATTAATAATATTGATCTTGCCAGCAGGGAGAACTCTTTTAGGTAGTTACTACCAGACACTCCCATTCATACAAGACATAATGGGGCAAATTCATCCCTGGCGTAACTTCATTTGACTTCAGTGGAGTTGCGACAGGGATGAATTTGCCCTACTATCTCAACCTTGAAATAATGTCCCTCCCTTTCCCAAGAGTATCTAATGCTGAAGTCTCTGACCAGTTCTGGCCTTTCCATCTGAGAATAATATCTAGTTTTATTAGAAAAATTCAAACTTCTCTACCTGTGACTATGCTACCCGAACAGTTTTAGACCTGTTAACAATTTCTTGGAGTGGCAGTTCATTTTCTGATCTTTAGGAATTACAGGGAAATATAATGAGCATCAAAGCGAAGAGCACTTCACACATGCCCATTCAAACACTTCTTGGAGATGCCTACCGGATGAGCTCCTCGCATTCAGTGTGTGGCACATTTCCTTTTGTCAAATAAATGTCTTCTTTGCATACATCAACCACTTTTGACTCAATGGTCAGTGGTTATTAATAATAATACAGTATTTCACTTCTTCAAAGTAGTGATAAATAATTAATCCTTGACTCCCCAGTAAAGTATTTCAGTAAGTGATATTATCCCCAATTTACAGGTAGGAAAATTAAAAAGAAAAAAAAAAGAAAAAGAAAGATTAAGCGATTTGCCTGAGGCCACACATTGAATCAGATGTAGAGACAGGAGTTAGTGGTTCCTAATCCTGTATTTAGACAACACTGCCTCCTAAAGACCCAAAAATGCCTCATGGAAAACATTGCTCTAAGAGAGAGTTCTAGAATTATATGTATATAATCTTTTTTGTTGTTTTAGAAATAGAGGTATTTGCATAAAAACAAAAGGATTTTATTCCACACATGATAAGTACTTAGCTTTTCAATAAACACGGTGATATCTGATTTTTGGAACAGGCCCCAAATTCCGTAACGAGATAATTATCTCTGGAAACAAGAAAATGCTTGACGACAAAAATACAGAAATGGGCGCTAAAAAGGGAACAGAATTGCTGCCAGAGCCTCCACTTTTGTGAACATGGATCTCAAAGTTCAGTTTGGTCATGTGTGGATGTGAAAAGGGCTTGCAGATTAGTACTTCAGTAGCTCATAGTCAGTGGTTAACAAACAGGCTGCCCGTTGTGTGAGACTGTATATTTTTGAGGGGGGTTAGTCAACCTGGATTCAAAATACAGAAAGAGCTCCCTAGTGATCCTGTTACCCAAAAAGAGAAAACCTAAGTGGGGAAAACAAAACCCAAACTACACTTGATTTGGTTCTGAAAGAAAGGGTTGAAATGCAATGGAAGATTACTCCATGTTGGATTATTTTCAACAATATAATGGCTGTTGATTGCAGTACAATATTATGACTAGCATGATGTTGCTAACCTGTAGGCCATAAGAGGCATGTACTGACTTTAACTATATAATAGGTTAGTGCTCCTTCAATATTTTCAACATCAAATGATTAGGATGTTTCAGAACACTGAAAAACATACAAGTTACCACTATTACGTACTTGAATGTTATGCTTTGTAACATTATGCAGTGAGTTTCACAGAGCTTTCATTCACGTCAATGAAACAAGAACATATCACATGCTTTTTGGCTGTGCCATGTTGCCGAGACTGTGGCATCACACTGCTATCTTACGGTATGACAGAGCACAGATGGCATGCCTGAAAAGCAGGTGTACAATATAACTTTCTTTTCACTGACAAACTGAAATTTCCTCTCACAGTATGTATAAGCAGTGTCCATCCTTGTGTTTGCTTGCTCTTATGATACAAGAACGAACAGAAAGTTCTACTCATTTTGCTCATCCCTGAAATCTGGAGTTTCAAAGGACACTGCAAATGAGTGTTCATATATATATTTATCAGTTTATTAATGTTGAGAGCTATGTTTTATCTTTTGAAATGTCAGAGTGATGATTTGAGGGAAATGGGAGCAGTTCTGTTTTAAGTAACATGAATGGTATTGGAATAAGATTCTCTGTTACAGATTAAAATGGCATATGAATCATATAGTAATCCATTCATTAGTTTATGGATTCAGAGTCTTCCAGGGAGTGTCACAAATCCATATGATACCCCTGAGTGTTAGATTTTTTCATATAGTTTTGAAAGATGTGTAAAAATATATATATTCAGAGAGCTTCCTATTGACCATCCATCTGAAGGGAATTGTGGATATAAATTATTCAAGCTAATGTTGGCATTAACTTAACAAAAAATACTGCTGTCTAGATCTTAATGTGTCAGACAATGTAATGCAAAGCACTGTTTTTGCCAACTGCACCCATTTTTGGTCAAACCACGCCCCTTCTTGGGTGCTGATATGACAAATCTGGAGGACACACTCATCCAGAGACTTCTTTTTGTGTAACAGAAACCACCAGGTCCTCAGTGAAGAGGCTGTTGTTAGGTGCTTAAAGGAACATATAAATAAAACAAGTGTTGATCTGACAGTAGTATCTGGTCATAAGTATCCACATAGACTTTAGGAGCAGTAAAATATTTTTTTCACTGTCAGGAAACTGAAATGAGACAATCAAAAGCAGAAGAAATATTTCACTAATGTGTAAATATACTCAAGATACATGCTGAATGCTGGATGATAAAGAAGGCTAAATTGTGCCCAGCGCTACAGCTGTTCAATGAAGTGTAACTTGGGTCCAAGTGCTGCCCTACAGTATTGCTAAGCAAATATCTCTCAATGACAAAACCTTTCAGTAATGTACAAGCTGATCCTGAATCTGATTAATTCTTTGAATCATTCCCAAGCAATTTGGGCCTAATACAAATATGGTTCTTTTCACAGCTCCTAGCATGTGAGTAAGGCAATAGCAGTGAAATACTTGCTCAAGAAATCTAACACTTTTTGATTCCTTGCTTTCACTGTGATTTGATCTAAACTCAGCACACCAAAAACTGAAAATAACATATTTGAGCTTTTTCCCTGGCATCTAAAAATAAATGGCTGCTCTTGTTGTTTTGGACATGTTTTAGGGCTGCTGAAATAGTGCAAAAATATTATTCAATACCAACGCTCCCCCGTACCTGTTTTGGTAGCTTAATGAAGTGGTAAGACCATAACCACTCCCAATAGCTCAAAGTATTGAACAGATACAGAGCACACTGGAATTGATCCTACAGGTACAGTTCAAAGGACCACTATCTATTTTAGCGTAACCTTCTTTGACAGGTCTATATGATCTAATAAATATTAGAATTTCTGCATTCTTTCTTCCTATTAGAGCATTAGTAGAAGGGAATTCAGGGACTCCTCCTGAATGAGATTACAGCTTTCACTGTTGTCTTCTTACTATACTGCAATCTCCTGGAGTGATCACGCTGGCCTGTTATCTTCTGAAGTGGGGATGATGGATGCTAACTGCAGCTGGAATTATGTCTTTCTGGAAAAAGAACAGGAGTACTTGTGGCACTTTAGAGACTAACAAATTTATTTGAGCATAAACTTTCGTGGACTACAGCCCACTTCATCTGATGCATGCAGTGGAAAATACAGTAGGACACAGTTGGCAACGGGCTTTGTTGCAAGGATAGGTTCCTGGGTAGTGTTTTTGTTGTGTGGTTGCTTGTGAGTATTTGCTTCAGGTGGGGGAGCTGTCTGTAAGCAAGGACTGGCCTGTCTCCCAAGATCTGTGATAGTGATGGGTCATCCTTCAGGATAGGTTGTAGAGTACCCAGTAGTCACCTACTACAGGACAGGCCCAACAAAGAAAGTAACAGAATGCCACTAGCCGTCACCTTTAGCCCCCAACTAAAACCTCTCCAGCACATCATCAAGGATCTATAACCTATCCTTGCAACAAAGCCCATTGCCAACTGTGTCCACATATCTATTTAGGGGACACCAGCATAGGGCCTCATCACATCAGCCACACTATCAGAGGCTAGTTCACCTGCACATCTATCAATGTGATATATGCCATCATGAGCCAGCAATGCCCCTCTGCCATGTATATTGGCCAAACTGGACAGTCTCTACGTAAAAGAATAAATGGACACAAATCAGACGTCAAGAATTATAACATTCAAAAACCAATCAGAGAACACTTCAATCTCTCTGGTCACTCGATTACAGACCTAAAAGTCGCAATATTACAACAAAAAAAACTTCAGAAACAGACTCCAACGAGAGACTGCTGAATTGGAATTAATTTGCAAACTGGACACCATTAACTTAGGCTTGAATAAAGACTGGGAGTGTATGTGTCATTACACAAAGTAAAACGATTTCTCCATGTTTATTTTTCCCCCTATTGTTTCTCACACGTTCTTGTCAACTGCTGGAAATGACCCATATTGATTATCACTACAAAAGGTTTTTTTTCCTTTCCTGCTGGTAATAGCTCACCTTAACTGATCACTCTCGTTATAGTGTGCATGGTAACACCCATTGTTTCATGTTCTCTGTGTATATAAAATCGTCCTACTGTATTTTCCACTGTATGCATCCGATGAAGTGATGTAGCCCATGAAAGCTTATGCTCAAATAAATTTGTTAGTCTCTAAGGTGCCACAAGTACTCCTGTTCGTTTTGCAGATACAGACTAATATGGCTGCTACTCTGAAACCTGTCTTTCTGGAAGACATTCAGTGAGATCTCTAACATTTTCCAGTAAGAAGGTCAATTATCCTCCTTCCAAATGGACTGAGTTTCCACTAATCATTCTTTTCTGAGAAAACCACATTTCCTTTCCTTGATTCTGTACGTCGCCTTTGTCCATTCAACAGCCCTAAACAATAACCTTCTTCTGGTCAACATCTCCACTACAGAAGATGCTTTTGATTCTCTTAGAAAGACAGTCACATCAAATAGACTGCCTCCTAAATCTTCTGCTGTATCGAAAAGAGGATAGATCCACCTGCTGCAGATGCATAAGCAAAGAGCATTGAACTCCTATTCTCTTTTCCTGACTGCCTCCTCAGTCTGCTATCAGTTTGAATCTTTTGTGAAGGCTATGGGTTAAGAAGTTGTGCTGATGTGTTTGTGTAATCTTCCTTCCCTCTCTCCTCTTGGTGTCTGATCTGTCTTAGCTGCTTTTGTTAAGATGTTCTATCACCTCTAGCGATAGACTGCCAGATTAAATCAGTAGAGGAGAAACTAAATGACTGGGTTCCCTTTACAAACTTACGTCATGTAGAATAAATACAGGTTTTACATTTATGCAAATTAAATAAATCACATGATTCTACTAAAACAAATAAAATAAATCACATTTCCACTTTTTGTTGAAATATTTATATATTTCTCATCTGATGCTTAACTCATATAGATAATGCTAGTCTGAATATGTAACTAGAAGGCACAAGGTGTGTCACTAGAATTTCATAACTGGGTTTGGAAGAGGAGAAGAAATACTGGAAAATCAGCTTCTCTCTCACTTACATGCTAAGTCCTGAGCACATGAATGGCTCTCCACCCAATAAGGGGTGACATCTTAAACACTGTAACAGTACTGGGAGTTGGCTAGAGAACCCTCATTAGGGGTTACTTGAGGTCACACACCTAATCACTGGCAGAGTTCGACTAAAACCCAAGACTCAACTGCCCAGGGGACCATACTGCCTCCGACTGAGTCATAAATCACTGATTGATGGCATTTAAACTGTATTATGGCAGCTTAAATATTCATATGAATTTAGAAAAATGGTGGTTAATAAAAGGATGTAAACCTACATTATTTAGGGGTTTTTTTAAAGTATAAAACCTCTGCATACAGAAATACAAGACACTTTATTGAGAAGAATAAAAACAGACAGCTTGAGCTGTAAACAGAAATTTCATCAACAAAGATTTACTTTTCTTTGTTCCTGGACTCTGCTAGATAGAGCATTAGAAGAGAGAAGAAACTGGTGCAAGATATACATTCCCCATTAGAAGGTTTAAAGCAAACATATCTGAGCCTAGAAAATGTAGTCAGCAAGACCTTTCTGTAGATTTTCAGTCAGGCAGTGGGAAGAAATTAATCACAATGTCAAAATAAACATTTTACTCATCAATATTGTGAAGTGATAATAGGGGATTTAACACCATTTTTCATATAATGGCATACATTAATTGTCGGCATTTTTAATGTGGGGGCCCTTAGCTCCACAACTTGCTTCCCAGCCATTGGTCTACCACATCTTGAGTTTATTGACCCATAAGATGAGCTAGGCATATGTCATAAATATAAAGGGAAGGGTAAACACGATTAAATCCCTTCTGGCCAGAGGAAAAACCCTTTCACCTGTAAAGGGTTAAGAAGCTAAGGTAACCTTGCTGGAACCTGACCAAAATGACCAATGAGGAGACAAGATACTTTCAAAGCTGGGGGGGGCCGGGGGGGAACAAAGGGTCCTGTCTGTCTGTGTGATGCTTTTGCCGGGACCAGAGCAGGAATGCAGGTCAGAACTCCTGTAAAGAGTTAGCCCTGGTCTACACTAGGACTTTAGGTCGAATTTAGCAGCGTTAAATCGATGTAAACCTGCACCCGTCCACACAATGAAGCCCTTTATTTCGACTTAAAGGGCTCTTAAAATCGATTTCCTTACTCCACCCCTGACAAGTGGATTAGCGCTTAAATCGACGTTGCCGGCTCGAATTTGGAGTACTGTGGACACAATTCGATGGTATTGGCCTCCGGGAGCTATCCCAGAGTGCTCCATTGTGACCGCTCTGGACAGCACTCTCAACTCAGATGCACTGGCCAGGTAGACAGGAAAAGAACCGCGAACTTTTGAATCTCATTTCCTGTGTGGCCAGCGTGGCAAGCTGCAGGTGACCATGCAGAGCTCATCAGCACAGGTGACCATGATGGAGTCCCAGAATCGCAAAAGAGCTCCAGCATGGACCGAACGGGAGGTACGGGATCTGATCGCTGTTTGGGGAGAGGAATCCGTGCTATCAGAACTCCGTTCCAGTTTTCGAAATGCCAAAACCTTTGTCAAAATCTCCCAGGGCATGAAGGACAGAGGCCATAACAGGGACCCGAAGCAGTGCGGCGTGAAACTGAAGGAGCTGAGGCAAGCCTACCAGAAAACCAGAGAGGCGAACAGCCGCTCTGGGTCAGAGCCCCAAACATGCCGCTTCTATGATGAGCTGCATGCCATTTTAGGGGGTTCAGCCACCACTACCCCAGCCGTGTTGTTTGACTCCTTCAATGGAGATGGAGGCAATACGGAAGCAGGTTTTGGGGACGAAGAAGATGATGATGAGGAGGAGGTTGTAGATAGCTCACAGCAAGCAAGCGGAGAAACCGATTTTCCCGACAGCCAGGAACTGTTTCTCACCCTAGACCTGGAGCCAGTACCCCCCGAACCCACCCAAGGCTGCCTCCTGGACCCAGCAGGCGGAGAAGGGACCTCTGGTGAGTGTACCTTTTAAAATACTATACATGGTTTAAAAGCAAGCATGTGAAAGGATTACTTTGCCCTGGCATTTGCGGTTCTCCTAGATGTA